AGAAGCAGAGTCCCATTTCGTGATTAGGGTTTCTGCAACTTCAATATTCTCCTCCATTAGAGACTCGCAGAGGCCGTGCGACGGCGTGGTTCTAGCAGGGGAATGAGACGGCGTGGTTCTGGCAGGAGAATGCGAAGGCGTTAAAGACTTGAAGAAATGGTTCCTCATCTTCAAGAGACAAAGAAAAAAGCTCGAGTTTGGTAATGGCTATGGCGGCAAAGAGAAACCGTAGGGGAATTTATAGAGAGAATAAATGAGGGGAGGAACGGGGAAGGTTCGAAGATTGAAGCTTTTTTGACCTTTTGACTGAGTTCGCTTGTATTTATGAACCAACTCGAACGAGTCAACTCAAGTCTTTATTTTTATTATTATTTATTATTTTCTTTTTGGGTCAATTGCCTACCGTTGCTGATTTTTGTCCTATTTGACCAAAACGATTCGTATTGGTCAAAAACGGGGACATATGGATAAAACATACCCACTTTTTTATTTATTAAATCCATTAAATTAATCCATGTTTTTAAAAATATTTTTAAAATTTTTAATTTTTTTTTTAATTGAAATGTCATAATATTATAGGTGGAAGAAATTAATATATTGATTTTTTGTCTTCAAGGTGACCAATTCTATATTTTAATTCGCGTGGAGTAAGTAAATAATAATAAAATGTTATTCGCATTAATTTCGTATTTAATGAATTAAATTAATGCATCAAGTATTAAAGTCAAACATCTATTGTTGACTTACTCACGGTCACATTAAATTTAATTCTAAAATACCTTGAATAAATTTTTAAATTTTGAATCTCTATTTTAAAATTTTATTAATATTATTTTTGCAAAAAAAATGTAAATTATTATTTTAAACGAGGATACACTGATATTGTGCACTTTGAGCATAAGCTTTCATCGCTTTGCTTTAGGCTTCCCCAAAAGGCCTCGTGACAATGGAGAGGCTCAACTCCTTTTCTTTTTGGAGTCTTAGTCATATTTTACTATGCCTTCGAGTAGCCTCGACTCCTTTTTCTTTTAGATTCCTTTGTTCTACATTTGAGGATTCTATTGACATGCCTAAGTTTAGGGCATGACTCTGATTCCATATTAGATGAACACAACTCTCCACAACCGTATGATATTCTAGACTTTGAGCATAAGCTCTTATGACTTTACTTCGGGCTTCTCAAAAGGGCTCATACCAATTGAGATAGTATTTCTTGATTATAAACCCATGATTATTCCTAGCCGTATATCTACCGACCAAATAATAATAATAATAATATTTATATTTAAAATTTTTAAAATAATAATAGTGTTTAAATACAAGTAAAATACAAAATCCATATTAGTAAAAATACAAAACTTTAATATATTATTTTATTTTTCTATTAAAAATAATATAAAATTTAATATAACATGTGGGCATGCAAAAAATTATATTATTTTATCAAGAAAAAACGCGATAGAAAAAAAAAAAGCATAGGATTGGTGACCCGAACTTGAAATTGAAGAACGTAAGACGGGACTGACCGTTAAAAGACGATAGAAAAAAAAAAAAAGGAAATGAGACAGTGTTAGATAGAGGTGTACAGGAGTTGGGTTGAGAAAATCTTTTGGATCAACTTAAAATTTCCGAGTTGGTTGGGTTGGTGACCCGAACAACCCGAATAGAATTCACAACCCAACCCTCTATTTTTGAGTTGGATGGGATTGACGGGTTGTTATTTATAATACATGTTACATTAATAACTAAAATCTTATAAAGTTCAAATATCAAACATTTACAAGTCATAACATATTACGAACATCAGTAACAAACGTCAAATATTCTTAATATTCATAATAATCTTAAAAGTAAGGTAAGATGCTCGAGAACGTACCATAGAAAATTAAAAGTTTAGAGATTTATTAGATAATTTCAAAGTTTATGAACCTACTAGATATAAACCAGTAAGATGCTCGAGAATAAAACATAGGTGAGACCTGGGTGTGCTCGAGATGCCCTTAATAATAAATGAAGGAAAGCATTTTTCCTTGTGTAGATCCTATTTTAGTGGAAACTTAATGAGTTGATCAACCTACACATCTTGCCTTTACTGCTATATCGAGAATTACTACACGTACAGCTGCTTTTGTCCGCTCGGTTACTCTTCCAATCTCAAGCTGAGACCCTAAAAAATACTCAATCGTTATCGAACAACCCTAAATTAGTTCCATATATTCTTTTCTTTTTCGAAGAGAATCAATCGTGGAATCAATAATTAATACTTGTAAACATGCAAAATTAGTATTTATAAATTATTATCATAATGTTTAAATAATTTGAAGATTCCCACTTGGATATTTTTCTATTTTTAAATAATAATAATAATAATTATTATTATTATTATAACAATAAAAGAATTCAAACCTTTAATTATTTTTTAGAATCTAGTCCTAATTGTTTTGTCCCTTTATGAAAAAGATACCTTAATCATATGGTTTTTGAATATTTTATTAACTAATATATATATATATATATATTAAAGTTATGTTCTTGGTAATTTTAAAATAATATATTGTCGGGTTAAATGTGACATGTGCGATGCTGTCATTTGTTTCATATTTCGCATTTAATAATGTACACAAAATTGGAATTGAATTGTTATAGATTTAGGGGTATTCGTGCATTCGGTTGAGATTGTGATATTCGAATAAATGAAGAGTATTTAAATGAACCGAGACCACATTCGAATGAGAGCGATCTTGAGGTTCGGATGACTAAGAAAAACTAAATGAATTGCAAGTCACTACATAAAAAATAATAATAAAAAGAAACGAGCGATCTTGATTTTAATCGTGCTTTACCGACAGGTGAAGGAGCTGGTCATCGAGCCGCATTCTCTTCCACCTTCATGCCTGGTTTACAGTGTTTGAAAGTTCGAGAGAAAAGAACCAAACACTGACCTTCCTCTTTTTCCTAGTTCTTTGGGTTACTCTTGACAAATGATGATTTTCTTACAAGAATATTTTTTATCTCACTGCTTAGCTCCGGAACTTTACAAGAGAGGAAAATAGCTTGAGCTCGGTGAATGAGGTAAGAGAAGAAGAGTGAAAGAATAAAGAAAGAGGAGCCTGAGGTGAGTCTCGCGAAGATCTTCAATCTGAACCTTCACATCGACTTTCTTTTAGAGTCTCAACCACGCCTTCGCTATCGCAAGAATATAACGATCGAATAGCTATTGCTCACTCAGCTGCTTCGCGTATTATGAAAGTCGTATTGCCCGAAGGAAGGGGCATGCTGCAAGAGCGGAGGTGAGTGGTAAGCGTAGGAGGCGTGCCCCAGAGGCAGCTGTGTGGTTCCACGTTGCTAGATTGAGATCTGCAGGGTGGCGGGGACTTCGACTACGTGGGTCGTTATAGGGATATTTTTTAGACTAGTCCAATTGTTTGGATTATAAATTTAGACCCAAACTATAAAGTTTTTGGGTAGGTTGATTTGTGTTGTTCCGGTAATTTATTCAAATTTTTATTTTTAATTAAAGTAAAACGTTAATTCATAAAATATTTATTTTTAAATATTGAACTAAGATTTATAATTCAATTTCAATATATATTTTTAAAATTACCTCGGAACAAGTTAAAAATTATTTTAAGAGTATATGGAGAATAGATAATAATAAAATAATTATGGAACCGAGCAACTAACATGTGCATAAAGTTTTTACTTATTTGAACTCAACTCAAACCGCACGGGTTAGGTTGATTAGATTTTTTTGAGTTATCAGATTTTTGAACACGGTTAAGCCCATCTTAAAATTTAAAGAAGACCCGTGCTTACTATTAAAGGGAATGTAACAACCTATTTTTTGATAGACTCGAGTCACTGACGTTAATGTAACTTGAGTATTTTAGAAAAATAATTAGTAAGTAATTCCATTGCTATGGTCGGAAAATGCAATCACATACAATCATGTGGGGACCTATCATTTCATGGTTTTGGTCTCTACTTCCAGTCGGGGTAGAATTCAATGTGTAGTACTTCTCTAGACACAACCAACGTACAGACACATGAACCCCCAGGCTAGCTCGTATACGTACCCCCTAGACTTGGCATTCGACTAGCATACACTAACGCTATTCGTATACCACGAAAGGGAAGAGAGTGCACATAATATTATGGTGTATACAATACCGTATCATAACATCATGACGAACTTTAATGCCGTAAGGTACATGTCCGTACTAATCATATCGGAAAAATATCTCGATGTACGTGAACATACAATATGCATGATGTCTCTATATTTTAAAAACACGATATGTATCTATGATGCAGTACATAACCTTATTCATTTCATCCATAACATAACCATTTCATGTCATTATCTGGGATTAACATGACACATCTCATCATAACATAATACGCAGTATAACAATCACAAAGTACGACACATGCAACGGTCACAAGGTATGGACTGTTCATACTTCAAACAATTCATCCAACCCAAACAGTAGTGAAGCCACTTATCTGAATAGCTTAAGCTAGAGTCGCTAATTTGTCCTTGAAACTAGTCCAAACACGTTCTTTGAAGTCTAAGTCAACCTATATGGGTTCATGACATCAGATTAGAACGCATTGATCGGCCTAGTCTACGTAGCATTCATGATTATACCTTTAACTTGACTTATGATATTTTAACTTGGGTAAAAAGTGGTAAAAATCAAACCCGAAAGGGTAAAAAATGGTAGGAAAGAGGTCTATATAGGAAAAATGGGGTAAAAATTTAGAGCTACCAGAGAATCGTGCGCGGAGTAGTCGGGAAGTCATTGAATAGACGTCGAAAAGGATCGGTAAGTATTTGAAAATAAATAAATAGATCTTTTATGAGCAAACAATTTGTTTTTATTAAAAACGTTTTAAAATAGTATCAGAGTTGAGTTGAGTTAAGTTAGATTGAGTTGGGTTGGGTTGGGTTGGATGGAGCGTGTCCACCAACGCTAACCCAAATAGCTACTCATTGTAGGTCTTCATGTCCAAGCTCCACGCTGTTGCCTCCATTGCGCGCCAAATCAACCACCCCTCTCTTCCCTTTCCATTTTCCCTTTCTTTCAATTTTATCCTCATATTTCTCCATGCCGAAGCATCCTCTGGATCTTCTCACGCATTCTGTTCCAATGTCTTGTGATTTCTTGTTGGTGGACATCCAGTCTTCATCCACGAGCTGAGTATTCTCCTTCATCTTTATTTACCATTGCTCAGATTGATCGAGATTCGGTTCTTGAATGATTTTGTATGATTTATGATCAGAATGTCGCGGACGTTGACGCCTCGGAGCTCTGCTTATCTTAGCGCTTTGTCCCTGCAGATTGAGAAGAAACTGCAGCGGGTTCGTTTTTCTTCACTTTTGTTTTTGTTTGAATACCTGAATTTGTTTCTTATGTTTTGATGCGGGAAACAATTGGAAATGGATTCGGATAATCCGTGCTGTATTGTTTGTTGAGGATTATTGGGACAGAGTGCCAAATTGGCTAACGAAGGGATGATCGTTTATAAGTAATGAATACATCTCGATTGGTATGAGGCCTTTTGGGAAAACCAAACGTAAAGGTACGAGAGCTTATGCTCAAAGTGGACAATATTGTACCATTGTGGAGGTTCGTGATTCGTTCAGATAACAGACACTCCTCCTCATTACCCGTTAAAACCATCGTTGCCTGTTCTGCTAACTTAAGAATTGATGTATTTAAATCAAGTTCTGCTGTTGCGACAAAATCTGGCATTTATGAGCTTGTGAATTCAAGTGGCATTTGTTCTTCTCGATTGAGAGAAGAACCGTGAATGAAGACAAGATCATAATGTTAGGCCTCCTGCTGTACTAACTTGCTAAAAAATGAATTGTTTGGACGTGAGTTTGTTTGAGAAGAGAGTGTTCTTTCTCAAGGATGAGGAGTGCATTTTGGCAGGGTGTTGAAATTGTGGGTTTTGTGAAGGGTGAGTAGAGAATGCAGGGAAAGGCTGGGGTAGTCTTTTTATTTTGGAACAAAGTGCTTAATTTTCCTTGAGAAGGGGATACAAAAGAGGAGCAAAACTGAAACAAAAAGAGGTTTCAATCAAGCAAAATGATACCTAAAGGATAATTACTAAAAAAAACTTTACAACATTAGCCAAAAAAGAGACATGGAACATAACAAGAGCTACATTCTCCTGGTCCTCTCCACCCCGCTAAACACTTTCTCGTTCTTGTCCAACCAAGTACCACCATAACACCAAGCACCCCACAGTCCATATAATCCAACCCATCTCATGAAGATGGCAGGTGAGAAAATGAACTCGCGTACGTCTGCAAAGGATGCAACACTATGAACCTGTCAGGCTAGACAACGTGGAAATATGAAGTCAGTAATTGAAAGGCTTTTTGATTTAAGGGATTCTTGATTTAAGGGAGCATTTGAACACATAACTTGTTATGTTGTTACCTGTTGGATACACAGGAAACTTAATATGCTACTTTGATTTAGGCTATTTTGATGAAGAAGAATGTAATGGGAGAGATAGGCAGAAGAAGTGTCATTGATAACGTGGAAATGAAGGGAAAATATTATATGCTATGATCAACATGGTAGATATCAAGGAATATAGGTTGGAAGAATTGGCATTGTTGGCTATGGATTTGCAGATACACGATTCAGTGCATTAGAGGCCCAAGTCACAACTCATGATGTATTAGCATTAAATACATGAGTAAACTTTTGTATTTTCTAAAAATATTATTCTTTTAACATTACAAATTTACACTTTGAGTGTGTTCTCATAGAGGTGCAAGGCTCCTTTGATCCAAAGATGCATAAAGCTTTAAGACAAAAAGTTTTATCAACATTGTGGGTCTAATCATCAAACACGCTCGGACCAAAATTTAAGCTCGAGGAAAGTCTGTTAAAGCCTAAGCTGAAGGTTTTTAGGCTTTGGCATTGAGCATGCACAAAGGTTTATGAATGGCACATGGGGCAATACTAGGGAGTTCACATTGTAGTAGAAGAAGAATATTAAGAGAGAGGCAGTGGGGGCTTACAACTCATGACAAGAGAAAGTATAAACGTTTTCTTTCTTGTTGGGACACACGGGCCATGCGCCACACTTGAGCAATATAAATTTCTCTTAGCTTTAAGCCCTTGGGTATCTTTATGTATGTCCAGATCTTTTTCCTATTAATAGAGGCATTTGGCAGCCATTTGATGCATCCTTGTAAGGAATCAGGGGGTATTCAGGAATAGATGTTAGCACTTTGTATGGGTCTTAGGGCTTGAATTGAGAGAAAATATAGTTGGAAAGTTGCCTCAAGTGTGATTTCTACAAAGGTCAGACATGTTCTTATAGTGAATATATTTGATTCCCAAACTGGCCTTAAAAGAACTTTTCATTCAATGTACATTGCAGACACACCACCTAAAGAAACTGCTCCCATTTTAATCTAAAGTAAAAAGCGGAAAATTTAATCACCAAGCTCGAGAAGGGAGTCAAATTTCCAACTACGACTTTTAAAATCCAGGGAAACTCTCAGGTCTTCTACACCATTCTCTTTGAGAAATGGGCGAGAGATTTTCACCGAGAGATTAAGTCTTGCTTATGCTCCTGGATGTTCCTTCAAATCCATACCACATCGAGCATGAATAGACCTACTGATGCACTTTCTAGAGTTGTCTCTTTGGCTCAACAGGGTTGCTATCCATGGTTGAAAATCTTTTAGTAGACCAGATTCTTAGCTTCTGTATTTTGTACGTTATAAAAGGATCACCTAGTATTTTGTTCTTTGGTCATGCCTCTCAAATCAACTTACTTTAAATCTTTTCAGGCAGCACGGTTGGGGGTTATTTATATGAAGATTGCATGAGAGTAATATTGGCGGCAAGATGCGTAGAGGCTAGTGTAAGAATGTTTTGGCAACAAAATAATAACTTTGTCCCCAGCTGGCTCCCTCTTAACTACTTCCATCCCTGCTAAATTTGGGAAAACATAAGGTGGTGGATAGATTAAGGAAATCCACTCATTTCATACAATCATAACTCCCTTTATTTCCTAAGGTGGTGGCTCTCTTTTGAAATCATGTCTTACTCTGGAACTTTGCTAGATCCATTACATCTGAGTGTAACAAAGTTTCCGTGGGTCATATTTGGGTGTAGTTGTTTGGTTACAAGACACATCCCTCCTTGGAAGTATGACACATTACCATAAATGGATGATCAATCTGAAGTCAACTGCGCTGTTTCTGCTATGACAAACTGAATGGTGACATTTTTGGTTGGTATGCTGTAATATCAAAATTAATTTCTCTATTGAAAGTATGTGGATGAGCACCACCTTCCTCAGTTGTACAGTTTAGACAATTGGTAAGCACTAATTCGGTATAAGGTCAACTAATTAAGATTGACACCATGCTTTTTTGTGAACTTGAGGCTTATTTATTACGGGGCATAGTTTCAGATGAAGCACGTTGTGGTCAGTAAACCTAGAGAGATTGAATCCACATGATTTGGTTTATTTGAAACTTCTGCCATATATATTGTTCTCCTTAGCTCAAAGGGTGAATAAAATTTTTCTCGAAGAGGTTTTTGTCCTTATCGGCTGCTCGTATGAATATATAAAATGCTTATTGGCTTACCAGCGAAGTACACCACTGGACATTTTTGTCCAACAATTGATGGGTTCCCTGGATTCCGACTCAGAATGAAACCTTGAGACAAATCATGTATTGGGAATGCGGGAATGCGACATACTGAAGAAGAGGCCCACATTCAATGGAAAGGCTTAGTGGACTTGGTAAGTTTTGTGGGAGCCTTAGATTCTATTAAAACTCAATTTCTCGGGGATAAGTGTTGGGCCTTCCTTGTATATATAAGGAAGGGTGAAAAGGGAAATTGTGAGACTTTCAAAGAGATTATTCTGTTCTAGAGGGAATATGCATTTGGCTGGATATTGCAATTATGTAATTTGTAAAGCGTGAGTAGACAGTGTAGGGGAAGGCTGAGGTAAGAATTCTCCTTGCTTATACTATTTGGTGTTGTTTTTCCTGTAGTGAATTGGAACCATCATTACCTTTAAGATTTATCATTATTATTATTTTTAAATATAGGCATTAGCTTCTTCATCACAGAGGCGAGACGTACTGCAAGAATTGTTTGCTGACATAGCATTAGAAGTCGATGACCGAGCCAAAGGTGAGTTGTCGGAATGTAAAAACTTATATTCGACAAACAGGAATAGCGTGTGGATGAATGTTTTTGTCTTACAAGTCTTGTTTATTTCTAGAAAGTTATTAAATTATCTCATGCTTTTTGACATCAAATGTGTATTTACTAACTTGATCCATAGCTAAGGGCTAAACTACAAAAAGTACCATTGAACTTAGGCTTTTGTTTAAAAAATATCCATGTTCTTCTCAATGTTTCATCTTTCATAAAACATTTTAATACTACCTTCTTAGTAGAACTTTGTTCATATGTAAGATGAAAATTGGGTTTGGAACGGTGTGGCAATAACTTGGAACAAAACCTGGGACTCAAACACTGTCACACGATTCTAGGTCATTGCCACATCTATACCAAGTCTGAATTTCCATCTATATTCTATGGATTTGAGTCCAATGATGGTTTTGAAATATTTATGATAGGTAATATTTTAACTTGTAATAGAATAGGGGTAAATTTGAAATCTTTGCCCTGATCGTCTATGCTAATGGTTTCTATTAAGACCTAGTTATAATTTTGCATCAATATTCATAAAATGGAGAATGGTCTTTTGTTTCGCCTTTAATGAAATAGAGTCACTCTATTAGAGTTGGTTAATTGAATACTTCTACCTAGCTTGTCAAAGCTCGTACTAGCTGCATCTTCTTACATAGTCTTAGATCAGATGAAGACTTGATGGTGTTACATATTGTTATAGCCATACCCACTCATGTTCTGCTTTATAAATCAGAAATAATTCTCAGCACAGAGGAAGATGCGATTGCACCTGTGGAGCATGGAATGGATAATCCATTATGCTTTTACGATGTTCTTGCTGATTATTATGTTCAGGTGCCAGAAGGCGGGAAACCAATCCTTGATTTGATTGTCAAACTGTGGAGCCAATCATTTACATGTCATATTTTCACCCTCTTATTCCACAAATGGGTGGGTGAACTTGCACAATGCATTTTCTTAAAGCCGATGTGATTTTCACTTTCTATTACTGTTATTATTATTTCTTTGTTGTTTGATGATGGAATAGTTTGACATTTTCTGAGCGTTTGCTCGTCCATCGTCTGGGTTCCTTGGTACTAACTATTCTGTGTTGAAATGAAGTCTACTTTTCTTACTACTTGCAAAGAAAACTTTCTTTTTAGTTCGTCTTGAAGGCAGTGATCGTTCTTGAATGATGTCCAAATGTACATGGTCTGGGTTCCTTGGTACTAACTATTCTGTGTTGAAATGAAGTTTACTTTTCTTACTACTTGCAAAGAAAACTTTCTTTTTAATTCGTCTTGAAGGCAGTGATCGATCTTGAATGTTATCCAAACGTATGTTCCATTGGAGTTATTGTCTTCTTTTTCTTCTATTTTATAGAAATATTTGGTGCCTGATGTTGATCTTTCTTGCAGCTCTTTGAAATTGAAATTGAAAATTCTGATGAAGCCCACCTCCGTAATTCATCTGCTCTTGTTCAAGGTGCCACAAATATCTTCTGGTATGGATTTAGCAATTTGTTGCGAATATCCATTTCATTCAAGTGGAAGTTTTCAATTTTTTTGAACAACATCCGATCTTGATGTACTGCATACTTTTTTTCATGCATTCTTAGTGGTTAATGATATTTAAATCTTATTTTAAAAGAAGCATGGATGCAAGGCATTTTATACTCGATATGTCTGTTGAAATATTTATATTTTAAAATATATATGATGAATTTTATTATACATATCTATGATTTTCATGCTGAAATTTTGTTTTAGATTATGATATTTCACATGAAAAGCAATGTAAAAAAAAGAGATAAAACTAGGTGCCTACTACTATACAGCACGGCTCTCATCAAAATATAAGATAACTGGGAGTTGGAGCTTGGCTTCCCTATAACCGGGGCACCCACGCTAGCCTCAAGGCGTGGACGTGGGAGACATCAAGGATTTTTGGCATTAAGCTCACCCAAAGATTCGAACTTGGGACCTGTAAGCCAATGTGACGGAGAGACTTCAAGCCCTTGCGAATGGGGTTGCCCCTTAGGGGATAACCTCTTAGTAAATATTTTACAAAAGCGGAGAAAATTAAGAGGACGAAAAAAATTAGCTGCTCATCTCTAATGAGACAATATGGTGTGAATCAAAATAGTTGAAAAACATCGAGAACAACTCGTTATATTTCTAAAAGATAATATCTTATTAAAAAGGAAATTTAAAAGGGTGTGAGGGCATTTGCTTCACTGTGATTAATGACCGTTTGGTGCATTTGATCCTTAGTTGAATTGAAACTTTCAAACTGGAATTAGCATCTTATGCACGGGTATTTCATCAGATAGCGTGTTAGCCTTGTTTCATACAGCTGCTGGCTACATATTTATGATCATCCTCATTTTAGACATATAATGAGAATGCTATTTTAGTATGATTGCAATGACCTTTGTTTGCTGATTCAGGCTTGATATTCAGGCGAACACTAGTCGATTTAAATCTCTCTTTCATGTAAGAGTTCAGTCAAGAATATTTTCCTCTCTTTTGGTGACATGTGAATTCTCAGTAACCTGTGCTAATCCCCTTGATGTTCAGTATCTTCTTGGAGAAGTTGCATTTCGACCTGCCAGATTGAACAAAATCCCCATACAGGTTAGAGTTGAATGGTTTCCTTAATTTTGCATGATTAAAGTAAGTTATTATGTTTATTCTTTTATGAATATTATACAATCTAGATTGTTTTACAATTGTACTTGTACCATCTTGAATGCAGCTATTTTCAAGAGAATCGTTCTGAAATTGGCTCCTTTCTTTCTTCTTCCTCATCTTTTTCTCAATTGCAGGTTCAAAGAGATCTTTTTCTTTTACTTTCAAGGTTCTTAATTTTCTATGATTCAGGTGAGCTTTTGCTATAAATGCCATTTGGAAATCTATTCAATTTAAGATGACTTTTTCCCCCACTAAGGTTTTAGTACTTGGGTGCCCATCTGTATATAATAATCTGCTGTGTTTCAGATGATAAGCTTAAAAGTTTTTTAAAGCAATTTCCTCCTTTCCCAAATGCCATACTGATAGGTGGTCCAGCTGACTTGTTTGTGATTGAACTTACTGATCAGGTAAATTGTCGTGTAGCATCGCAAAATGTTCTATTAACACGTCTTTTGTATCGATGGACTTATATTATTAAATTACGATCGTTTTCTGTAATATTTTTATATCATGAATTAGCATGTTTTGCTATTTTCATGCTTAAATACATCCGCAAGTTCAATATTGGTATCAAAATATTACATTGGTCAGATTCAAAAGCTGAAGGTGGAACCTGTACTGCTGCATTATTTTTCACACCTGATTGTTCTCCAAGGTAATTGGCTGATTCATTGAGATTCAACAGTTGCTATTCTAACTGTTCTAATCAATGCTTTTAATTTATATAAGGTTTGGAACTCAGAATGACCACAAGTACAAGGCTAAAAACTTGTTTGTATAGCTTCACCCCTCCGGGTGGCCCCATGTATCCTACCAGAGCTGTTCGACACGCTGCATGGGATGCTCTAGATTTCCTATTTCCAGTAAGTATCGACTAAACAGAATGTCGTTGCTCAATGAAACAACCATTAAGCATGTTCCTTTGATGTAATTTGATACCTTAGCCGGATGCCACTACAATAGTAATATTGTTATGCTAAGAAAATTAGAAAGTTTGATGAAGGATTTTTGGTACAGGTTGGACGATATCCTAGGCATCTTATAAGCCTATTTTTCAGATTATTGTACCCATGGTACTGGCCTTCATCTTGTTGGAACTTTGTATTATCATGTATAAGGACAGTATTTCATTCCTTGTTTCGGTTCGTCTTTTCGAGATATGAGAATCCTAAACAGCACAAATAATTAGTTTGTATATGTACACAAAAGACATTTTTTACCCTCATGCCATGCTGTCGTCCCTCGTTTTTTCTGGGGGCTGTGTGTATGTATCTTTTACTGATTCAAACCCGTCTTGTGTTGACTATCATTGATAAGTGTCCCAGAGGAAACAAGAAAAGAAAGAACATATATTTGATTGAATGGAAATTTCCCTTGTTCTATTTCTTCATTAGAACACCAAGGAATAGGTCTTTTTGGAGGTCGTTTCTAGTGTTTTAGTCGCCTTTCAATGGCTCCACCTTCCCCTACCTTGGGGGAGTGGTTGAATACATTTCTTATTTCCAAGTAAGAATAAATGATGAAGTTGATATCTATGCTTCTGTTTTTTGTGTGGTCTCTGTCAAGTTCTAAAACGAGCTTGAAAATGTCTTCGAGACAAGAAGCAATAAATGAATGTTTGAGTTGGTGTTTGATGCCTATAGAATGTTGACTTGGTAATGTATGTGATGAACTAAGAGTAATAAATTTGCTAGGCTTTCTACCAGAAAAAGTTGCCAAACCAATTGTTTGACTTGGTAATGTGATGAACTAATAATATGTTGTGTTTAGAGTTATCCATGGGACGGGGACGGGGACGGGACCTCCGTTTTCATCTCCACCGTCATTTCATTTCTCTTATATGAAAGAATTGTCTGTAGCTAGGAGATCGAGTTATTTGTGGTGAATTTTTTCTATTTTTTTAAAACAAAAAATCATTTCAATTTTTTTTTATTAAAAGAATAAGAAAAAACATAATAATCAATACTATTTTAGATGAAATAAATAATAATGTAACCTAATTTTTAAAAATTTTAATTTTAGTCTTCAATACTTAATATAGGTAATTTTCATTCCGATTTAATTTAGCTAGCGGAAAGAAATATCTTTATGCATCTTTTCTTATTCACCATTTAAATGGGAATTTTTTTTTATCTGAATTTCAATAATTAAAAAAAGTAATAAAATGTGAAATGGAACCATATGAGTGACTAATGATATCTAGGTGATTTTTGAGAGAAAAATAATGAGTAGAAAATCACATTTTTAATCATTGTTCGAGTGCTCTCCTAAAACTTAGTCACGGTTTATTTATTTATTTATTATTCTTAATATAATAAATGTAGCGATGTAAAATTTTGAATCATTTACCTTTAAATTGTATTTATATTGACAGTTATAAGTACAGTTATATATCTCGATATTTTTTTTACATATTTGTTTTTTCTTCATACAAATATTTAATATCATATTTTACTACGGTTTAGTATTAATTTTGATGAAGGTTTAAAATGCCAAATGTGAATCGAAATGCTGAGTTTTAATTTTAGAAACATTAACAAAAAAAAAAAAAATTAATAAATGTCAATGGATATATCTAAAAAAAATTATTAATAAATAAATAATTTAGGTATTTTCAAACAAATTAAATTACTCCTTATTCATATTATTAACATTTATTGCTATTTTTCTTTATGTTTCATTGTAAATATTGAATCACCTTGAACGTTGATGTTGAATTCGTGCAAATAAAAATATAATAACCTCATTCTAATTGCCCATGGTTTGAATTTTTTTTTTCTTTTTTTAATTTCAAACCTAGAATTATTTCTATAGGGTATTTAAATTTTGATTTATTATTCATTAAAATGATTATCGACTAATCTTAATCTACGCCCTAACATGTAGTATTCGATCAAATATTACTTAATCTATTGAGGTATATTTGGGTTAACTCTCTAATCCAAAGACGTGCTCTTAGTTCAGCTCATTACAAAGCACCTAATGATCAAAACATTTGTACCCTTGATTTGAACCGTAATACTTAAAAGCAAAACGAAAAAATTAGTCTAGAAGATCAACTAAAGTAGGAAGTTCCATGGCATGACAGGAGTATGCGAAACTATTAATATCATCGAGAGAGGGATAACCAACAAAGAAATACCTTCAATCAGTTCTGAACCATGTGAAGCACCTGATACTCTATGGAACAAAACGTTAAGAGTCAAATCTTGGCTCAGTGAGTCCTTTCTTCCGTGATGAACGGTTTGCACCAGTTCTCCATTTTACTTATGTGGAATGAGGAGAAAAGGGGCTTGCTACAAATAAATCTCCTACAAGGCACAACTACCTACACCATCGATAAGAGATGCAAAATGGAAGTTCTAAGCATTTCCGCAACAAAAACGGCAAAGCTTCTACACTTCCCCATTCGTCACTTTTGGCTAAGCTGCAAGTTCATGCGCAAGTGAATGAACGAGCCATATTCCTAAAAGGAGTGACCCTCTTTTGTTTTATGTCATTCTCCTATTCTTTCAAAGCCCATAGGTTGAATGCTCCCACTTGACTAAGAGTTTCGAAAGTCAGGCTCTCCTGCTAAGCTGCGAGTCTACCGTACAAAACCCTAACTCATAGTGTCCTTCCTTGAGAGCTTCAAATAGATCTGATGAGCTTTATCAGAAATTGTTACAAGCTTTGTGTACATCTGATACTATCATTCTCAAACAGCCCCTTTCCTACAAACCTGTTTCATTTGACATGAACATTTTCCTTCCAATTTTCATATGCAATAAGAGCTTGTATTCAAATATTTCCACCTTACTATTTATACTAAAATCAAAACCTATTGCAAAAGGTCCGGGAGTAAAATCATTTTTTACCTCCATGATTGATATGGCAAACGAAAGTCGACTTGATCTTTCAATAGCTTACGACCCTAGTAATGATCGATCATCAACTCCATTTCTTCATCAACTACGAACAAACTAATCTAAGATTGAATTTCAAAAGGCTTCAAACATAAGTGACAAAGTAGAAATCTGAATGATAACCATAATATAGAAGCAAAAATACAAATCCGAACTATGTTATATGAAGCAAAAACTAACTAAAATGGACCAGTTTTGTAAAATCTAAATTGAATCTCAGATATGTCGGTGCACTTCGACCAACTGCAATCGAGTTTCCACGCTAGGAGTTCAAATGACACTTGACAGAGTAGTGTAATTCCCCTACTTTTTTTCGGCTTTCTTAAGATACAGAAGAAACTCAACATTATTGCATGGTATATGCCTTGTCTTCTAATTACTGAATGCAAAATTCTGGAATATTTTCAAACAAAATATGCTGAAGAAACGAGACTGCAGCCTATAATAGTCATTACTACAACCACATGATAGTAAAAGGCATACACAATACTGAGATAAACTGAAATAAATAAATGTAAGTGTCGTTGAATTCTAACTGCATACCAATTGTGTGAAATCCCACCTCGGTTGGAGAGAGGAACAAAACATTCCTCGTACGGGTGTGAAAACCTCTTTCTAGTAGACACATTTTAAAACCGTGAAACTGACGATGATACGTAACATGTTAAAGCGAATAGTATCTGCTAGCGGCGGTCTTGAACACTTACTTGGTAATCATCTCCACACCCCTTCCTTCCTCTCCATGCCAACAAGTAGAAGATCTTAACACATTACTTTTAATTCATAAAACCAAACGCTGCAAAGCAATATAAGTAGAAATTCTGCAGTCAGAAACTAATAATCAACATATTCAGAATAGATTCTCGGCTATATCTATCATTCCATCAAGGAAATATTATGATTTAGAAACGGTGTACCAGAACTTTGGCCTCAACACCAGAAGATGTGGTTGATTATGTTATAACCAATACTTCCCATGTCAAGCGCCCAAATCCTTCCGTGTCGAGGAGTGTGAGCGACTTTCCCAGTTCCAGTGCAACTTTCATGGAAAATAAATAGGATTGGAGAAGATTAAGAAACAGATAAGTAACGGGAGATTACAGATTCAAGCATATATAACACCTCATTGTAGTTTACTGCAACAAATAACAATTGAAGCCCAAACTCCACATCCTAGCAAGGTCTAGTGGTTCTCTCAAGGTCAGGGCTTCATGATATGACTCGCAAAATAGAAAATGGTATCCTTATCACATTTATCATCAAGCACCTAACGAAGTTGGGAATATCAAGCACCAGGAAATCACACCAAATGATTTAATTGATCTGCATGGCTTCTTCATGATACTTCTCCAAATCAGCATCTAGATCTTCGGCAGATAATTTCTCCCCACGACCTCTGCTGCTACTCCCACGTCCACGTCCTCCTCTTCCAGGACCACGTCCTCGTCCACCACCCCGATTTCGGCCCAGTACATGTCCACTGTTAAAATCAAATGAAAATTTGTTAAGTGCATGCTGATTAAGAGAATCAATAATAGCAATCAAAATCAGATTAAAAGTTTAGATGTCAGCAATTTCAATTAAAATACATAAAACATAATTATCAGCTTAATACTTAAGCACCAACTGAAGCATAAAAAGAACAACGTAATGCATGATCATGTACACAAATAACTACCAGAACTGTTCAGAGGCAGGCAGAAGTCATAGGGGTACCAAGGTAAAGAAAGAACCGCTTCTATCAAACATCGCACAATTAAAATATCTGTGTGATAAATGTTAATAAGGCAGGCTTGGTGAACATTTTACCTTTTTCATATAATTCATCATCAATATGGAAAAGCTTAAATATCAAAATTTCAGAATCATATGATCAAAACATAAGCTGATTCTGGACCCACAAAGAGATGTTGAACCTAATAAGGAGTCAAAACCAAGACCACTCAAGCCCTCTAATGAGCCTGCCATTACTCCCTCCCCAAAGGCTCCACAGGCTCCACATAATAACATACACCTCAACAATGACACACAAACTTCTTGCAACTTGGAATCTTTCATCTTCAATTCAATAATCTTGGTCATTAAACTATCCAAGTTATCATTAACTAGACTCTTTTCTAAAAGGATTGACGCGCAAAAGAAGGAACCCATATTAAGTTTTTTCTTGCATAAAATGTGGCAGAACCGGATCCCTTAATGTTGTTTGTTTATTGGAGAACTTGAATAGAAATCTTGTAAGCTAACCTACAAGAAATTCGGGTAGTGGTCAAATAGACAATTTGTAAACTCAAATCCCTAATGAAAATAACACCCAGCATTCCAACACCAAATGAAGTAGGTTCATGTGGTTTTTTGACAATACTAGCCAAGGTGTGAAAAACTTGATCAGATACCCACAGTTGTTCAAAAATATTAATAAACATTAGGAAGCAGCTAATGACATGCGATCAAACGCAAATTTGAGAAATAAAAGTTGT